ATTTTTAAATATGTCATTATTAATCATTTAATGTTAAATAACAACCGTTAACTATTGTATAGTCAAACAGTTATATTTATTGAATCTGTTATTTATCATCCGTTACCCACTATCCACTATTTATCATCCGTTATCCGTTAACCATCACCCGTTACCTGTTATCGTTATTCGTTATCCGTTACCCATTAAATTTTAACTGATGTACCAATCAGGTCTTTAGAGTAATACATGATTATTTTTTTTTAAACATTTTAATCATGCGGTCGGCTTGAATCATTGCCTTTGAGGAAGGGAATATGAATCTTATAAGAGTGACTAAAGCCACTTGGCCCACAAGATCAAGTTGGAGTAATACAGGGTTCTTTTTTTTTTTTTTTTTTCAAATTTTGTTTTTTTTTATAAATATATATGGGAGAAGAGGGAAATAAATTTCATGGGATTCGAACACGTTACCCACGAAAGTAAACAGCCTTAACCCAAAGTTTAATACCACTGGATCGAAATAGATCATTCGAGTAATACAAGATTCTTTTATTTTATTTCAAAATAAAAACACATATTGTCATTGCGCTTGGTTACACAATTTGTGGCGCAAACCTATCATATGCTGGATTATAACTAAACATCTCTAAGATAAAATTTGAGCTTGAAGCGACACCCGTATTGTTGCTTGATTACTGACCCACATAGGGGCCTATAGCCCCCAAGCCCCAAGGGCATGTCTCATGAGAGCAGCCCGCATGGCAGACATGCTGCGCTAGCCTCCTTGAAGTTTTTTTTCCTCTTTTTTTTTTTTTTCACAAAAGTAATGAATAATAAGTTAGTATGATTTAGTTATTAGTAATTAATTTTCAAACTGAATAAACATCCTATACTCTCAAATGAAGTGTGCGACCATCAAATTACTTTTTAATAAAGTTTACAACAGTAATAAAATTTGAAACTTCGATCACTTTACCCAAAAATTTAAAGGTTGGGTCGAACCATTAAATGCAAAGACCCGATCCAGCCTCCTTTAAGCTTAATTCCATTGAGTGGCGGGTAAAATTCTTTACAGATGACTTAAATACGTAACGAGATATCATGAGTGATAGAGTAGCCTTGTCGTCGTGATCCACAAAAATTCATAAATTCATAAATTTATAAATGTTTATTTATTAGCACGGCTTGAGAAAAAATATATAGTTATAATGTAAATTTCATAAATAGTTAATATAATATATAATTATTTTAATACGTAACGAGATATCATGAGTGATAGAGTAG